TTAGGCTTGGGGACTGACCGCTTTATAGCAAAGAGCCAGCCTGAAACTCAGGGCATCTGGATAGCCAGGACAAGGGATTCTGACTCAAACTGAAAATACAAGACAAAGTACAGCTTTAACCCTGAATTCTGGGCAGAGTACGTGAAGTGAACAATTTCATTACTCATGGGGACAATGTTGGTCTGTCTGTACCCCACACACACTCTGTAAGTGTGCCATCCCCACACCATTCTCCCTGTGACCTCTTACAGATCGCTTTCTTTAGTTCATATTTCTGTAACTGCAAAGGAAATGATCTTTAACTGTTGCCAACAGGAGAATGGGGATTGTAAATTGTAATGAACTTCCTGCTGTGTACGGGTTGGGCAGCCTGAGCCATCCGAGGCAAATAGCGTTACTTAATCATGCTTTCTTTTTCCCCATCAAAATCTGTTAGTGCTCAGGATGCCAGTGCTTGAGTGGAGAAAAAAAAAAGAGGGGGAGTGTGCCTTTGTTTCCTCCTAATGTATCTGTTCCTTCTGTTTGCTTACAGTGAGGGGTATGTCCACTTGACAGCATCATCAATATGACCTTTCTCTACAAGCAGGCAGAAGGAACAGATGCGGCAGAAGGAAGTGGAGACTTTTTTCCATTTACGCATTGCTGTTCTGGATACTAGCAGATATGAATGAAAAAAAGACATGCCCGTTGTGCAGTTCGCCCGTGAGTGGGCTCACATCACCCTCAGCACTGTTTAAAAGGATATGCCTGGGTTCGGTAGAAACAGGCTACCTTTAAGTAACACTGTAGTTGTGACAGCAGCGAGCACACTAGTTTTTGATGGTAAGAATCCTCTTGCTCCGCCTATAGCTTTCTGTTCTCAAACTAACTTAGGAAGTCAGGTGTACAAATGGGATTTTGGTTTTGTTTTGTTTGCCTGCTCTTTTTACATGGAACTTCATGCAGAGAACAATAACAGAAGATACATTTAGCAGTTTGATATTCTTTCCTTCAGAATGTCTGGGGATTTTCCCAGTGTTCATTTGATGGCATTAAAAATGAATGGGATGACTAAATGGTTTACAATTTTACATATTCAGTTCACCTGAAAACAATTACTAATGTGTATAATCATCTCCAGAATTACTTGGATCATGCAAATGGTATTCAAACCAATCATTTTAAACTGTTTTCCAGGGGATGTGTCATTACATAATTCATAGTAAGAATAGTACCCTACAATCTGAGCTCAATATTATTGCCCTCTCAGAATTTACTTTTCAGATTATCCTCCTGGAGAGTGATAAATTTCTATTTTAACCAGTTTTTAGAGTGCTTCCAGATCTCAGTGGGGGACTGGGTATTGAATACAGCTTATCTTTATCACTTTAATGTGAGTCTTAGGTGTAACAACACTGGGATCAATGCTGAATCCATTATCCTCTGAATTAAGAGGACCTTACCGAAACCAGTGAGCAGTTTGGCCTCATATGACTGAGCCCTAGCCAGTGAGAGAAGGTACAGAGAAAATGGTCAAGCATTAAAAAAAAGAAAAAGGAGCTTAGATTAAAATGCAGGAAAGCTATAAATCAGTGGTGAAGGCCAAGCGGCAGAGAGGAGTGTGGTTCATGGATAGGGTTAAAGAAAGTCACTGTTGGGTGGAAGCAGGAATGGGGATAAGGTACGATCTGGATGGTACTGCAAGCACTAGAATGAAGTTCTACCTGAAGCCTTGGTGGAAAAACTGTTGCAGTTTTTAATAACTGTGAGAAGAAGCTGAGGCACAAGCTGCACTTCACTTTCCGTACTTTCCCTCATTGCAATGGTTAATAATAAAGGTTGTTTGGCTGTGGCTGCAAGGAAGAAGCACCACGGACACAAATTTTGGCTACATGCAATTTTCTGGCAATGGAGGGGCAGGGGTCTCACTGACAAGCAGTGTGTGGTGGGCTGACCCCGGCCAGCAGCTGAGCACCCACACAACTGCTCTCTCAGTTCCTCCACCCCCAGCAGGACAGGGCAGAGAATAGGAAGAACAGAAGCAAAATTTGTGAGTCGAGACACAGACAGTTTAATAGGTGAAGGAAAGAGAAAAAAGCAAACAAGAAATAATTCATCTCCCACAAGGACATCAAGGCCCAGCCAGTCCATGAGCAATCACCACCAAAGAAGTCAATCCCCTCCCTTCTTCTTCTTCTACCTCAGTTTTCATTGCTGAGCACAACGTCACATGGTACAGAATATCCCTTGGGCTCAGATGAGTTGTCCCGCCTGTGTCCCCTCTGAATGTCTTGCCCACCCTCAGCCTACTCACTGCAGGGCAGAGTGAGAGTGAGAGAAAGCCTTGATGCTGTGCAAGCATAAAGCAGTAGTCAAAACACTGTGTGTTATTAGCACTGTTTTAGCCACGAATCCAGAACATAGCACTGTACAGGCTGCTATGAAGAAAGCTGACTCCGTCCCAGCCGGACCCAGTGCAGCCAGCATGCAATCCCGTGGTACCCAAGCAAGGCAAGCAGAGCACGTCCAGTGACAGCCAACAGTCAGCAGTCACCAGACAACTGTGAAGGGCAACACAGCTTCAGCATCGTGCTGGGAAGTCAAGTCAGAGGGCCAGGGTTATTTCAGCAAGGTACACAGCAAGGCACAGGTAAAAAATGTTGCGCAGAAGCCAAGGGCAAGGCCACTGAGGCATGATTTGTTACCATAGCTGAAGACATGCATGTAATTTCCCTTTTCCTCTCCCAAACTTGCATGCCATTATGCTGGACTGCTAGATTATCAGCAGACTCACAAGCAACACCAGATGACTCTGATTTTTGCCTTGTAAGTCATCTTGGAAACAGTGGTCAGTGAGAATAGGCAGTGATACAGGACCCTTCTTCAAGTAACAAGTTTTTTGTTTAGCCACAGAGTCCAGTAACCACAAGGGAAAAACAATATACTTGTTGCCCCACCTACAGCTTTGCCAGTTTTCCTAAAGACTTTGGTAGATCTGACTTACCCCAGCTCTTTCTGGCAGCAGAGGTGCAAATGTCTTCTCTGCAGGCCCTGCCTCTTGCCTTGTTACCCTCAAAACTCTCCTGAAGTACCAGAGCTTTATTTAAGCTTTTTCACCTTGAGGCACCCTGATGGACCCCCTTACCAGCTAAGTATGCTGCATCCAGCCTGGAGAAGGATTTGACAAGCTGCTGGTTTGTGAGCTATTCACCCATTTTAGAGTTTGTCCCTTTGCATTTCATCTCTGCTGTATTGTATTGTACCTCCAGCTGCCATCTTTGAAAATCATGGGCTGAGCAGACTGTATTGTATGAACAGGATTGGAGTTGGTAACACTAGAGGAAGCCGTAAGGGCAGGATTTTCAGAAGACTTCAGGACTTGCTGCTGGTCCCCTAGACAACTTCCACTTTTTAAAAGAGGCAGAAAGGATCCTGGAACCATCAGGAGTTTTCAACAGTTTTTTTATGGAAATGTAAAGGCAAAAACATTTCTTCAGAATTGACAAAGCAGGCATAAGCTCTTTCGTTCAAAGAAATGTCATCAATCTGAAGCATCACTAGCATTACTTTATAGGTGTAACTTTTTAACCCTCTCAAATCAACTTTTGACCTGTTTGAATCCAGGGATCATAGTACTTCTGTTGCAAAGATTGCCAGACTAAAAATGATGGCAACTCATGGGGCTGTGAAGGAGGAAGCATACCCTTGTGTGATTCGTGGGAGTCTGGGGTGGGAGAAATCTGGCCTCAAGCTATTGAGATGCAGCAAGTGACAGCAAGACCTTCAGCAGAAGGGTTAGAGACCTTCTGCACTGAGCAGAACAGGCAGAATGCAATCTTGAAAAAGAGCTTTTACATAATGAAGATAAAACATAGATTCCCAGAATGGATGTGCTTCCCAAAGAATATAATCCGTCTAATGGAGAAAATACATATACTCCAGCACAAGTTTGTATACACATACATGAGCATATGGTTAACTGATTGAGCACAGTTCAGTTAGTTTGTTCTAGTTTTGCTTTGTTACATGTGCAAATGGAAAAAATATGGCACCTGATAATAAATCAACAGGCAACTGAAAATAACCAGACATCAAAGGTTTTTTGAAGGCTGATAAAATATTTCCCTCTCCTAGAGAGCAGCTGATCCCTCAGTAAAGGACAAGACCCCTGTATTTGAATTCCAGAACCAGTTATGGGACCACAGTAACCTGAATTTCTTTGGCTATAATGGACCTAAAGGACAACAGACACAGATCCAGTCCTGAAGGGAGAGTGACATAAGGCACAAGGTTTGAAACCTGTGGCCTGTTCCACTTTCACTCACTCTAAATGTATAATTACCACAGTTCAGTGAGCTGCTTGTGGTTTTGCAGTGAAGCAAGTAAAGGTGAAGTTGTGAGAATGATAAGTGTTTTCATATAATTTAATTTAATATACACTTTGTATAAGTGAAGAAAAGAAGGATTGTGCTGAAATATGCTACTACAATATTTCATTCATACTCTGTTTCATGCCTTGAATACTTTTTATGTGCATAGAGTTCATGTCCCTGCTATCTAACATCACTAGCACAAAAATCCTGTAAAGGAATTTCTTTCTTCCCTCTCTTCCCTTCAGTATCACAATTGCCAGAAGAACTTGTTAGACCTTCAGAATGGACAACTTATTAGCCACAGTGTGTTGTTGTTACTGAGACACTTTAAGGAAAAATATAGAAAGGAATGGATACTTGTGTTGTAATTGTTAGAGAGGGACAGCTGAGGAAAATCTTAATGAAGCTTCAGGGCATGACTCTTAGGTCAAAGACTAAAGTAAGACTCATGTGTCTGCCTTCAAGAGAGAAGATAAAATCCAGTAGCTTCTGAAAGATCAATCTTACTAGCCAGATAATGCTACAGACCAGTACAGCCGTGCCGAAAACTCAGCTGTCTCCCTAGCTCAGCAAAGTCCCGACACAGCTTTATTTCTACGAAAAGCCGGGATTGACACACTGCAGCTGGATTTCCTAGTAGTTCACAGTTCAGTGGGCTATTCCTGCTATGAAACACAACATATCCAAGCAGCACATTGTTGTTAAAGCTAAAAACATTTCATTGTATAGGAGTAGTTTATGGTCCTTATCCAAGTGGCAGTTTTGGATGTCATATACTCTGAATACATGATGAGGCATAAAGCACACTAATGTTACCAAGATGAAGAAGAAACCCTTTGCCTGAGCCCTGAATTCCACATGGGAGTTGATGTCAGGCCAGTATTTCACAGCCAGTCTATACATCACAGACAACTGGATTACAGTGAGCACAGCACAAACTGCCACCAAAATCCCAACCAAGCAGTAGTTTATGATCACCATGGGCACCTCTTGTATCTCCTTGTGGAACTGAAAGCATTCCGAGGAGAGGTATGTCCTAGAGGTGCCATAGTACAAGAGAAGAACGGGAGTGACCACCAACACTCCCACCAGCCAGACAGCAGCCACCCCGGTTGTAGTGTAGCACTTCCTAAACTCGAGTCGGAAGAAGTGTATTATGATGATAGCCACGTAAAACATGAAGGTGGTGTACATGTGGAGGTAGATGATGGCGCTTGCTAGCTTGCAGGCAAACTTCCCGAACTTCCATTCCCGTAAAATGTAACAGCTGAGGCGGAAGGGGATGCTGAGTAGCATAAAGGTGTGCAGCACCAGGAGGCTGATGATGATAACGGTCATCACAGATTGTGGTCTCCTTTGAAACAACTGGTGGGACATCATGATGACCCCAAGGGTGCCACCAGCCAGGTCAATGATGTACAGGGCTATAAGAATGGTGCGGAGCTTCTCTGAGGTGTCCAGCAGTGTCTCGTTGGAGGAATGGTTCTGCTGGGTTACACTGCTGCTAGGCATCCTCCTAAGATCCTCTTTCAAAGGTTACTGAAAGTGAAAAATGGGAATTTTAAAAACAGACATGTTTTCTTTGTTGCTTCCTTTATTGTTAACTACAGAAAGTCACAGATTCATGTAGGGACATTTTACTGAACTGTGTTTGAAATGATGTTATCCCATGTAGTATACAACCTTATAAGTGTTGTCATACTGTATATGACAGCAATAACCCATGGCTCTCAGTGTTAAAACCACATTTTATATAATTATGAGTGAGTTTTTAATTTACTAAACTGCATTCTAGGATTTTTTTTTTCGATTATTTGCCTCTAGATTAAGCCATTTGAAATAGCGAAGGCACTGTCTGTAAATTATACAAGTTTAATCTGCACTACTGTTATAAAGCTAAAATTGAGGGTGGGAAAAATACTGAAATATGAAGAGGTTGTACCTATAATTTGTGGGTACTTTATGAAGACACCTGAGCCATCTTTTTAGCATGTTGCTGGATGGGTGCAGGACACCCATAATACAGCAACAGTTTCAGTTTCTAGATACACAGAACATACTGAAAATAAAGATCTGCAGATGAAAATTCAATTTCTTCTTGCTTTAGCTCTAAGTCTTTTTGCTACAGAATTTCACCTGAGCTACTCTACTATGAAAAGTGAAGAAAAGCTAAAAATTAATTTGGGAACAATCTTCTGAAAGATAAAATCCTATTGACATTTGTTGAACATAGCCACATACAGCTGCATTCTTATTTAGACTTAAGGCAAAATGTGGACTGTTCAGTTGTTTGGGCTTGCATACAGATTTTGGTACAAGTATATGGGGATAGCACGCAGGGTACATGCATACTTTGCTAATGAAATCTGTCCTTACCTTACAAAGAGTTTCAAAAGAACAAAGAGCTGAAAAATGGCCTTTTAAAAAAGCAGTGTCTTCTCCTTCTGATTCCTTTGAAGTTTGAAATCAGTAAACTTGTTTTAATCGGCAGTTCTTAATTCTGTTGCACTCATCTGTAAAATGATAGACTGCAACTGCAAAACATTTTCAGAGAAACTTCTTATTCATCAGGCAAAGCATCTTTAGTAGGCCATTGGAGTGTTGTGTCCAAGACTGATAGAAACCTTTCTGTTCACTCCCTTTTAAAATGCATGATCTTAGAAGCATTTAAATGGTTAAAATTGTATACCTGCCTAATATTCCTGAGACAGGCATGAGAAATTTGCTTTCCCAGAAACTTTGCTATAAGAAAAGTTTCACAAGCTTTAAGAAGATGACTTTCTGCTCTTGACACAAATTCCTTTTCCAATGTATATTGTTAGCATTTCAGCTTGGCTTTAAGAAGGTACAATCTTTTAGTTGTTATAAACTGCATAGTTATAGCCTAGATGCCAACATTTTATATTACTCAGAAATAGATTATGTTTTTTTCACTATTTATAGAAGTAAAATACTTAAATTTTACCTTATAATCTCTTATTTTTGTGACTTTCCCCTTCTTTGCCATTTCACACATCCATAGCACATGGAATATATAACCAGTATGAAAAAAAGAGCCTTTGGTATTACTGTGTGACCAAAAACGGTTGAGGGTTTTCTCAGCCCACACACAGGAAGGCACAAGCCTTTTTCTTGCTTTACTGAGAGAGCAATCACATACGTTCGACATCTAATACTATCTTCTTCATGCAGTGAGAACTGCTGAAAAGCTGCTGAGCTGTCAGACCATCGTTGTGCTCGGACATGTAGGACAGACAGACCCACGCATCAGGACCACTTCTGCCCACAATTTGGTTAGTTTTAAAGCTCAGATGGGCAGTGGTTCCCTGAGCTGTATGACTGCTGCAAGTTATTGGGCTTTGGTACTAAGCAAGTAAGAAATGCCACTGAACAAGTGATGAAATATGCAGCTGAGCAGAGGATTTTTCATTATAAATGCACTTTTGCCCTGAACTTGTTTTATGTTTAATAATTAAGCTAAATGTGCAAGAATAACAAACCATTTAGCAGAGTTAAGAAAAGATTTCACTCTAACATGCTATTAGATCTTCAAGAATTCAGAGGAGATTACTCACTGTTTAAATATTATAATAAGCTTCAGACATACATGAAAAGTGACTTTAGTGTTCCTGCTGTTAAAAAAAAGACATGCAGAGGCCAGCGGCACTTGAAGATTATGTCTGAACTGCAGGCATGAATGCTGACCCCAAACCATATCATTAGTATAAGGTAGCTCACTAAGAAAAGGAAAGCACTGAGTCAGGGTTCTTCTAGAGACATAAAAAAGCAGTTTCTTGACTAGACATTAAACAGAAAAATGTTAGCCCAGTTTATTTTTCAATTAGAGTTCTAGACCACAGTCAGAGTCATCAGTACTCAAACACAAAAGGACAACACACAAGGTTTTGTGAGCAATAACATAAAAACAATATTCCAGCAGGGCTGAACTAGGATTGCTCCCACCATCATGCAGTCATCCTCTGCTGTGGATGTGAAGATGGTTCCCTCCAAGAGGCTTCTCTCCTATTATTAAGTGCAGTCATTAGGAAGAAAAAGATGTGAAGGAGTAGAAGTATTAGAAGTAAATAAATACAAAGACTCTAAAAACCAAGGGCACTGAAAGTCAGGGAGAGAAACAGAAAGAGCTGTGAGGCTGAGCAAGAATGTGAAGACAGCAGTCCGTGAGACATTCTCAGGATAAACTCTGAAAGCTTTGAGGGACCAGTTACCGTTTCATCTAGACCAGGATTCAGAACAGAAGGGATGCCCATTTTGGAGACTGCATATACTCATGGGCTTGGGGTAAGAGAAATATGCAATTGCTCCAGCAGACAGAGCACTGAAGGACAACAGCTACGTGAATAATGGTACTCACCAGGTGTGGTTCCAGCATTACTTAATCCCACATAAGGACAGGCTGGTGCCTGACAACGGTAGCAACAGAGTTTGGATGGCAAAATGATCAGCTCGTTCTGCAGAAATGCACAGGAAGGTAGGGAACAGCCTGGGTGTCGGACACCAATGGTTTCAATGGGTTAGAGTGATCATGAAACTACATCCACAGCCTCTGGGTAAAGCACGGAAATGCCTACAGCCTTGTGCTCTGTCCACAGGACCTGAAGCGATCCACAAAGCTTGAACCACCAAGAAATAATGCAGAAGAGACATGAAGAAACTGCATTGCTTAAACGGCTGCTATGTGACAGCCGGCGCTCCAGATAAAGCCAAATCAGGCTATGAGATCAATCGCTTTGCACACTCTATTACCTTGCTGAGGTAACAGAGTGCCTTGTTCTGAGCTCTTTGGATGTAAAGAGATGCCAAAAACCCTGCAAAGGTGTTGCATAGATAATTCTCTTGTCACCTTGGGGAGGGCACCACTGGCGGATGCTGAAACTGCTGGGGGTCAGAAACGGAACTTCTTGATTGATGTTTCATACCTCTGAGTTGCTTTGTCCTTGAAATGTTCCTTGAAGGTTGTATGTTGAAGCTGTTCCGTGTGTTAACATTTCATGTTCTATTAAAAAAAAAAAAACACCTCACCTCAGCTCTGTGATCTAGGTCTTAAGTTTTAGGTTAGTTTCTCATTTGGGTACAAAAGGAAATTGAGTCACATCAGCCTGTTCAAATGAACTTTCAGATCTTGCTTTTGCTTCTTACTTTGTCAGCACATAGTTTGCCTTGACCAGCAGCAAGAATAAAGGTCGAAAGAGAAATGCATATATACTCATCAGAGATCCAGGTCAAGACTAGCATCACAAATAGACTTTAAGGAAGGAAAGAACTGGGCATGTCTGGTTCAACATTGGGAGAAACAGAAGACAAAGAAGAAAGGTGAAGGCTTAAATTATTAAGAAGAGAAAATGAAACAGAAGGAGAAGCAACAGCTGAGAGAAGAAGAACAAGGCCTGTTGGATGTTCAGACATGGGATGAGTCTCCGTGGAAGTGCCACTGACTGTGCCTATGCATGGGTGTAGCAGATTTCCTTTAAGCAGGGGCTAGATCCACAGCAGACCTCTAAGTTCTTGGTTTCATTTCATTTCTGCATGATTTCCTCTGCTTTCTGTGTCACTTTGTAAGAAAATTTTATGCTTGCCGGTCAGTATAATAGCAACCAAGGTTTCACATATGAACTTGAGAGCTCCATTCTCTCTAGGAACAACCATAAAACTGTGCTACTTTGTGTTATTAGACAGGTTTTCAGTTTTAGCTACTTCCAACCTAGGGTCATAATTGCTGATAATTTCAATTATTTATTAATATTAAACCCTCTATTGCTAGTTACTTATAAGAACTGAGCTACATATAGGTCAGAGTCATAAACAACAGTAAGATAGGGAATACCTGTGTTACATTTTAGCATACTGCTTTTTCTGTGATTGCAGATGCAATCACAGTTCTTGCTCTGTCACTCCCGCTCTGTTAGACATGAGTCACAGGTGCTGGAAAGTGAGCAAATCATTGTCCATGGTTAGTGAACTTGCAGGATAATCCCTTTAATTTGCAAATCCCATGACCCATGCAGCATGAGGAATTTAATAACTTCAACTAGTAAATGGTCAACAAGGTTAGCAGGAGATTTGAGATTCTTGGACTAATCTTCTACTTATTTTGTTGCAGGTTTGCTTGAGAGGTTTCTCAGGCTTTGTTTGTCAGGATGGAAGAGGCTATTTGGCTTCTCTGTTTATTAGAAATAATAACATAGTTGCCTCAGTCATACCTATTTAATATGCCTCAAAAGTAGACATTATGGTTTATATAAGTAGAAGTAATATATCATGGGTTTCTGTAGAGGAATTTGGCAAAGTATATCAGAGGCAGGCTATGACTTGTCTTTTGAAACAAAACTGTTATTTCTTGGGTTTGGTGCAAGGAGATGAGACTTATTATTACAAGTTCAGGAGCTTGTCATTATTCTCCTGTGCTGGTACATACCAGTTTAGAGGTAAGTTAGACAATTTATGAATATCCTGCTATTTGGTCTAGTTGCCCTCCAAAACCGGTAGAGGTT